ACCAGCCTTTACGGATATTTGCTGGCCATCTTGCTGATGTGACATGTACCCGATTTCATCCAAACTCCAACTATATTGCCACGGGCTCAGCAGACAGGACTATACGGCTCTGGGATGTTTTGAATGGGAATTGTGTAAGAATATTCACTGGACATAAGGTAAAGGCATATCACTCATGGTGTGAAAGTGGTTTTATTTCTGCGATGAGATTCTGAAGAGTAGTGTTGAGAATGAATACAGCTTGACTGATTGCTTGTGAGTAGACTTAATTAACTTGTTTGGTCCTCCCCAAATGTCTGTTTTAGGGACCAATTCATTCATTGGCATTTTCTCCTAATGGACGATTCCTGGCTACTGGAGCAACAGATGGAAGAGTTCTACTGTGGGATATTGGACATGGCTTGATGGTTGGAGAATTGAAAGGGCACACTGACACTATCTATGCACTCAGATTCAGTAGAGATGGGGAAATTTTAGCATCAGGTAAAATTCACTGGAAACAGTGAAATTTCTGTTGTGTTCCATAAGTCTGAAGAGGAATGATATAATTGGTTCCTTAAATTGAGGAAGACAAAGTAGAATCACTTGCTTAGCAAAAGCAGCAACTTATAACTGTGAGTACTTCACTGCGAGTACTTCACTGGACTGTAAAGTGTGACCCCTCACTCTTCCAGGAACTGAAGGAAAGGTTTTATGCAGTTAGATGGTAGCGAAGGCTGGGATCTGTGTTGAATCTGAAGTTAGAAATAACTCTAGGGCAGACAAGAAATGGCTGGACTAGAGAGGTGCAGGATACTGGAATGGGACTGGGAAATGCAGCAGGACTAAAAAGAAGAGAGCGGAAGGGACAGAAAGGAATATGAGTTATCCACACCCTTACTATTTTTTCATGGTAGATTTTTGATATAGAATAACCATCAGGTCTATGAGCAGCAGAACTTGTGAAGCCTACTTGTTTTTCCTGCCTGTCCACATGGATTCTCTGGTGTCTAATACAGCAGAGCTCCTTTGCCAGTTTTCCCTTCATGGAGGCACAAAGTTTTGTCTCTCCATCTTTAGTGAACTGTTTTCTTAAAATGTATAGGAATTTAATGAATTTGAAACGTGTTCTGTTCTGTCAAATGGTTGAAATTAGCCAATAAGTTCAAGTTACTGACAGAAGGAACGATGGACACTGTAATTGCATCAGGGTAATTTCCTCATGAAACCTGGCTAGAGATGTTCTAGATTTATTTAGTAGTATGTTCCTAAATGCAGTGCAGTGAGAATCCTCGGTAAACCACTACTGCAGGAGTGAAAGCTAACAGACAGGGTACAGGTTTGATCCATCCTGCTTGGTGGTTACTTCAATTTATCTACCAATGCTCCATTGAAAGCACAGGCCACTGGGCCTGTAAAATTCTGTCTTCCCTGTATCAAACAAACTGTTATTATGTGACTTAGAATCATAAACATTTCCTGAAATTGGCATCTAGCCCACAGGATGGTCCTGATTTTTCAGTGCTAGGTGATATAATCCAAACCCAAGTGTTTCGAGAGAGTAGTTCGTTGTGCTTTATGTACAAGGCATTCAGGTTAGGTTACAGGAAAGCTGAAATCCTGGTAACTTTTATGAATGCATTCAGTATGTTAGAGGCTTGTTGAAGTCCGTTTCCTTGCAGGATGAGGGCATAAGTCTACAGTTACGAGCAAAACTACTTTTTGAGCTTTAATTTCTGTTAACTTGCTCCCCAATAACTTTTTTATATACCTTTTTTATTAACAAAAGAAAAGACTTTAAACTGTTGTTCTTTTTAGGTTCAATGGATAACACAGTTCGTCTGTGGGATGCTGTGAAGGCATTTGAAGATTTAGAAACCGATGACTTTACTACAGCCACTGGACATATAAACTTGCCTGAAAACTCACAGGACTTGTTACTAGGTACATACATGACCAAATCAACCCCGGTTGTACACCTCCATTTTACACGCAGAAACTTGCTGCTGGCTGCAGGAGCCTACAGTTCACAGTAAATCGGGAAGCTGTAAGACTGACTGTGCCGTCATTGCAGTAGTGACCTCATATGTGAGATGAAGAGGAGCGTCTTGTACAGGTGGATCCCACTAGTCTGTTGCAGGAAAAATGAAACTATGTAAACTAATGCAAGCAGCGTTTTTCAGTTCTGCTATTTCATATTTATCCACAGTTTGAAAATGCTGGAGATTGACAAGACATCGTGGCTGTAAAAGAAGGAATTGTTCATGGTGCTTTTGATAAAAATATATATATATGTATATGAAAATGGCTGTCTCCTCTCAGAGATGGTATTGAGCTCTGCTGAAACTTGTGGAAAGTTAACAGCCTTGGTATGTGTTCTCAAATGATTTTTTTTTTAAAGCACTTAATTTATGGTTAGCAAATGTTTAATCAATCTCAAACACAAGCAAAAACTGGTCAGTTTCAGAAAAGAATGTAGTTTAATTCACTATAGCCTGGGCTGGGCAACAGGTATGGTAAGAGTATCACAGCAACAAACAGGGCATTGAAAGAGTAGGTCCAACAGGCAGAGGCTTGTGGGGAACTGCCATGAAGTTGTGTGTGTGGGTTTTATGCATCCAAGTACTAAGTCCTGAAAAGATTTCAAACTCCTTTGTTCTGAGGTACTGGAAATGCAGATCTTGTTACTCTGTTTTCACAGGTAGCCAATGCTGTAAGTGTGATAAGCAACCAGAAGTGCAATGTGAACTTTATTTACTTTCATACTTTATTGTATGAAGAAGAAAAAAAAAGGGACTGAGGCACAACTGAAATACCCATTATTAAAAAAGTGGACTTAAAACCTTCTATGTTGTATTAGATCTAGAAGAACTTTAAAAACCTGCATCCTTTGTGCATAAGGTTTAACTTATCAAAATGTAAAACTAGCCGAGAAATTGAAATACTATTGCAGAGTAAAAGGATTATTCTGTCCTAACTGTATTATCAGTTTGCTTCTGAAAGGCCAGCTTGTCTGCTGAAGTGACAATTTCTACCCACAGAAACATTGTACCCTAGTAAGTCCTCCTGGACAACCAATAAAGCTCAGTGCTTTATTTCTAATGAAGAGCAAAACATGCAAAACACTGGGAAGTATAACTTCTTTCTGGGTCTTTGAACAGAAAACACCACCACCAAAGGACAGGCCCAGTTCAGTGTGGTTTTGGGTTTGTTTTTTTTTTTTTTTTTTTTTTGGGTGTGTGTGGGTTTTTTGGTTTTTTTTTTTTTTTTTTTCCCCAAATCTCTTACAAGTTGTATACAGGGAAATCTGTTTTGTGTTCCTCATTACTTTCCAGTAAGGGCTTGGACACTTGAACAATCTGCTGGCTCTCTAGTGAAAATAAAAACAAGACTTGACATTTCTAAGGTAAAGTAAATAGAGAACTACCTCCCCTCTCATCCCTTCTCTGACTCTAACTCGTGGAGTAAAGGTATATTACAAGCATTATACATCAAAATAAAGGGTGAAAAAGTCATTAGGAAGCTCACCTGGAAATTTTCTTTAAGAAAAAAGGTTAAAACTACATTATGCATTTTTTTTGTGTAATGGTACCTCAACAAAATTTCCTAGCTCTCAATGTGACTAGTTGGATTTAAGTACAGTTATGGTGAATCAAACAAATTACCTAAAACAAAGCATGTACAGCTTAAAGAAAACACTGCCACATTCTGCCTTTGTATTTTGTACAGTTTTATACTTTTGATATTATAATAAATACTAAAACCACACAGCTTGTGTTCGTATGTTACAAGAAGGTATTTTCTTCCCTTGATGGCTGCAATGGAAACAAGACCAGTGCTTGTAGCTGTGAGCACTCTGCTAAGAGAAACAAAGTAATTCAGAAAAGGTTAAGTTGATGACCAGCCATTTCACCTAAATCTCGTTCAGCTAATTAGATCTATTACACTGTTACAACAACTATTATTCATCTGGAAAGTTGTATACAGCAGAGGCCATTTATGCAAACAAACTCATAGGAGAGGAAGACCACTAGGTTTATTCAGAAGGCCCAGCATGTACAAAGGGCTTGAAGAATACATAGGCTACAGTAAGAGAGCACAAAGACCCTGTAATTTATCTCTCCTTTTTTTACAGCAACCATGCCTACCTCCTGCTGCCCTCTGTTTGGGAAGTATATTTGCATGCATTAGCATCAGAAGTCCCAGGTTCAACCCCTGCTGCTGGCACCCTTCTAAGCAGCACTGTGCCATATAATCACATTCATGCATCAGCACTAATGTGATGTTTTTAAGGAAGGTACTGAGTTTTAACTGAGATATAGAAAGACAATGTGAAGGATATGATAGACAAGTTTTAGCGTTGGGCAGGGAGGGAGCTGCATATATCTAATTGTGGTAGGAACACCTCATTTATTAAGAGGCTATGTCCAGGAAAAATAAGCACTGAACTACTTAAGTCACTGTTTATGAACATGCAGAGTTTTAAGAACTTAACATCAGCAAAGTAAGCCATTTTCTTTCTGGCAATTACCTCTGCAAGAGAGGCCAGTAACAGAAAGAGCTCAAATACCATAATTTGATCAGTCTATTTTGGGAGGTTTTTCCATCAAAACCAAACATGTCCTATGCAAAATATGGACAACAGAGGCAGAAGTTGTAATCTGCATTGTATTAATAATAGTGAAGAAGTCACTGTTTCTATAAGTTACTAGCTTGGAATGCAAAAAACAGGAGCAACTGGGTAACTGCAAACCATGTAAGCTTACTGTTTCCCACTATGACAGGGAAGCGTGGAGATGCTTTGATCAGCTGTAACCTCTGTGCCAGTATTATAGTCATGCTGCTGCGGACTTTCCTAGGTTACTAACAGGTGCGCAGAACACTTTAGGATGTGTTAGAAGAGAAGAGTTTAGTTAAGATAGTAATGACAGGAATCAGCTACTCCCATCTCCACTACAAATAACTATTTTTGACAGAGGAAAAAAAAAAGCCAAGTCCGACATTTATGCTGTTTTGCACCATTTCATATTTCCAATAAAACAAGTAATTATTTATATTTTATTAGCCACAACAAGTCATCAGCTTGCATTACACTGACACAGACTGGAGGTTTGGACATGCCAGCAACCTGCCAAGAGAAGAGAGATCAAACATAGCAAGTCTTGCACAGTGGCACTAGTAACTGAGCATTCCCCTTCCCCAAACAGTTTTAGTTACGAGGAGGCACATTTCAGTACACCCAGGAAGAAATGACTGATGTCCCCTTAACACACAACAATGCTCAAGCTTTTTGTTTTCTACCCCTTTTTGCAGACTATGAGGACAACCCATAGTTTTTTTTCAAAATGCCACTTCAGCTGAAATTTTGTATTTGAAAGTGACTTGAGAATTTTGTAACACTTGGTTGTTGCTACACAAGAACAAGTCCAGTCACTCCTATATGGACCTTGCATAATCAGGGGTGCAATATATACAGTTCCACTGTAGGGTGCTCCTTTACTCTGTTCAAAGGAAGGTTTTAACAGACTGCATTGATCTGTGCTTGGAATCCTCTAATACAACTAAGAAATACTTCTTTATTATTTCAATAACCTGCAAAGCAACAGTTATCCCTGTTTTACAGCAAAAGGGCAGACCAGAGGCACCCAATAGTTGTAGGCAAGGTTTGATGTACCTAGCTGCAACATCCTTCCACTCCTCCCTCCTTGCTTACTCTTCCTCCCTGCATGCTGTCCCTAGTCCCATTTACCATGTCAGAAGAACAAACAGAATACCAGTATCCCATACATTCTGCAACCCGCTTTAACAACCTACTTCATTCAGAATGCCCCCAAATAAGCTGATGCTATAGTTTAGTTGAGATTTCAAATGATAAATACAAAGTTCACATGCCTGTATTTCTCTCTCTCTAATTACACTGTATTATTAGCAACTTGTCCTTTGTCACTCTTTCTTCCTGGGCTGGCATTGAAGCATTTTGGTCCCAGAAGAACACCAGCCACTTACCATTTACTTATCTGCCACAGCAGGAGTTTTCTTTTTAGGTCTAAGCTTGAAATACAAGATGAGCATTGCAATACTGGTGTATGTTGCTATTACATACTGGAAAACATAAAAGTTAAGTTTAGTTTCAGTCTAAAACCCAGAAAACACCATAATACTAGACTACAAAACTTAAAATACGTAATACATACATTCCTTCTGCCTGTGATGGTATAGGAATTGAAGTACTTCTGAAATCCAGTGAACTGGTGTTGGGATCCTGAGTCATGGCCAGCCATGGCTGCTTGTCCTAACGAGCAATACAGGACAGTTAACAAATTTAAGTCAGCTGGACAGGATCAATAGAAAAATCAAACTAATGTCTACACTGAACTTAATTCCATTGTCAGCTATTAAATCCGCTTTCAGCACATTCAACAGACAGTTGGACATTCAACATACGGAAGGAGCAGACGCATTCAGAACACTCTATCTTAACGTACAAAATAGGTGTCAAAAGCAGATAAGCAAATGAGGGGTTCCGAAGGGAAAAACATTTATGATTTTCAAAGTTCATTCAACTCAGTTTAAACATGAAAAAAGATATCAGGATTATGATGATAATAAAAGGGAAAATTCCTCAAAGCACTTATAAAGAACAGACCTGCCAGTCCTGCCTACACAACCTTTCAACACAGGCAAATTTATACCAATTGTTCAGGAATCTGCAATACCTAATTAAGATAAATCTTCACTAGTTCAGCTAAGAAGCAGCTTCAATTACATACTCAAAAACTTGGTGACAAGATTCAGACTAGACTACTACTCTGTTTTGTGATTCAAAATGCTGCTTTACAACTTTTATACCATATTAGAGTGCAAGTTGTTAGTAAGAACTGCCCTGCTCTCAGCTGCATGTTTCTATTGCATCTTACTTGCCCACTGTAGTATTCACAGGTCTAGATGAAAATATACTTCCCCCCCCCCCCTTATTTTTCAGCTAGATCACCAAGTTACTTGAGCCAGCTACAAAGCCTCAGAAGTGCTTTCACAGGAACAACAAAAACACCAAGTACACGAGGGCACACTTTTGTATTTTGTCTGTGTCTGGACCAAAGTTTCAGATCTACTGTAAGAAGTTCATTAACACAAAAGCCTGGCATGGCTACAGTAGCATACTTGCAGATTCCCTGAATGGTTCAGTTTGGCACCTCTGGAGATCGCATAGTCCAACCCCAACCTGCTCAAAGCAGGGGCAGCTACAGCAGGTCACTCAGGAACACGTCCAGTCAGCTTTTTAGTATCTTCAGAGAGGGAGACTCCACAACTGCTCTGGGGAGCCTGTTCCAGTATTTGGTCACCCTTACAATAAAAGGGTTTTTCTTTTTAATGTTTAGAGATATATTTTTCTTATGTTTAAGACAAACATTTGTTGTTTATCTTGTAACTCACCCCAGAAGAGGCACACATGCCATACAGTTACCTAAACCAGGCAGATGCTGTAGCCACCAGTACCGCAGAAGAGGAGGGATACAGGAAACTGCTACAGCAGGTGCTATGTTCACGAACACAGCTCTTATACAAACCCAATCTAGTAACGTACCTCTCCGGTGTATAATCAAGTAGGCATACCTGTAACTGGATTGACTATACAATAGCTAAAAATCTTAATGAAACAAACCCCCTGAACATCTGCCGTATGCGACTTGGAAAGCCAAGGTCGCCTTTTCTCATGCCTGACCGATGCAAAAGCCTGGAGAAGAGTCACTGCGTCCTTCCGAGGACGGCTCAGAGCCCAGACACCACAGCACGAGTTTTCTTTTTCGGAAGAGCCCGGTGCCCTTGCCAGGCGCGGCCCGCCCCGCCGGCTGCCCTGACCCCGGGCACCGCCGGCTGCCGCGCTCGCCCCAGCCCCGCGCAGAAGCCGGGCCCATCTCGCCGGCGCAGACAGCCGCGACCCCGGCGCTCCCTCGCCTCAGCT